AGATGTGGGTCTATAAGGCCATGTGTTAGGTGAAATTGTGAAATTTTCAATGTAAATGATGTCTCCTTCAGATGGCTCTCGCTTATACTGCTCATGAAGTTGTTTGTTTGTGACTTCAGCATGTATTTTATTGCCCTGTTCATGATAGATACTTGAATGAGGAATGGAGAAGATATTAAATTCAGATTGATAGGACAATAAAGCATGAAAGATAAAACATTTAATCTTACCTCTTCATCCATAAAAACGAACATAATACATGCTAAATGATGAGGGGGACTCTTATGGAGCTGGCACCACTTCCTAATCACTCTGATAATAAGGAAGGAAGCTTCTTTAGTGTCATCAATAGTCTTGATCAGTTCATAGTCCTCAATAGCCATGGTAATTATGTTGAAACTGCATAAAAGAAGGCATAAGAGAATTGAATTAGCGAATAAATAATTTCATAAAATGATGCATGAATATTTCTTCATGAGAGGAAGAAAGAAATGACTTTGGAAAGTAAGTGTATAAAATAAAACTTAAGAATCACAGAAGGATATAGCAGAACAGAAAGCAATTACAAGTAAAGATAGAAATTGATTCTTGAGAGGTGGAGAAATAAGGAATCAGGAGCTGATATATATAGGCAGAACTGAAGAACAAATGAGAAGGTCAGGAGGCAGTAGTGGATTGTAGTAGGTGAAAAATGTGCGGTAAAACTGAAAGTTTTGATAGCATGTTTGAAAGGTTGGTGCTGCTACATGATTTAGTTGATTGGAAAGGAGTAACAACACAAATTGGGTAGGCGGGAAGGATGAAAAATGTGAAAGCACAGATAATTTTGAATTCATCAATGAAAGCTATTGTATATGTGGACATGAAAGAGGATGAACATGCTGCACATTTGGAGAAGACAAAAATACCGGGATTCAAGACTTCAGAAGAGTAATTTGTTTTTAAAAGAATATAAAATTTAGTAGTTTGGTGTAGTAATTAGAAATAAAAGTTGATTTGGTGTAATTCCAAGAACTAATGCAATGATTCAGACATTTGAGAATGTGCCCTTTGCTACTGAAGAAATAAGTTATTGATTGAAAAAGGCATTACAGTGGATTGTGTACTGAGAAGAAGTGAAGTTTAGCCGTCTTGCTTAGCAGGACCTCTGAAAGAAGCTTACAAGGTAAACATAATAGAGACTTATAGGTGGCTAAATTATGAAGCAATGTCAGTAGGAATGATGAGATTGGTTGTGCGGAGGTGGAGGTGAAGTGATAGTTGATAAGGCTGAGAAGAGAGGATTGATTATGGAGTGGAATATATTTGTGACTAAAGATGGGATGATAAATTCAAAATGGACTGTTTAGTTGGTTTGAAACAAAAACAAATAAAATTGCAAACATAAAAAGAACTTTAGTTGGTTGGAAAGTGAGAAGTATAGTTGAAGTGTAATGGCACAATCTAATTTGTTTAAAAAAGATTTGTTTCAAAAAGAAATGATGGGCAAATAAAGTAAAATAAGACACTAAAAAAAGCACAAGTATTGAGAATAAATATCATTTACTTATAGTTTGTGTAGAAAACAGTATGCTGAGAAGTTACGTGTGCTGTCATATCTAAGTGTATACATAATTCAGTTTAAATATGGTGTTATTAAAACTTAGTTGTCATGATGTTCAATAACTTGACATCCAAAGGAGCATCATGATGAAATAACTATAAATTGATTGTTAAGTTGAGGAAGAATTAAAAATACAAATGGTTAAGATGGAAATCTGACGAAAATGAAGAGGACTGATATCCATTTTTAGGAGTGAAATTGCAGAAATAATGTATAATGTGCAAGTGACATTTTAGATGCAGTAAACATTAATGTTTTTAAATAGGAAGCATTTAATTACATTCCTTTCAATGTTGCAACAAAAGGATACTGGAAGGAATTAGAAGAGAAAATAAATATTTGCAATGGAAATTAATATTATTAATGCAAGTTGAAGGAGGCCTTAAAGTTTTGGGTGCAACTGAAGTACAGAATAAGAAAAAGACGAAAGAAAGAAGATCTTTGTAGAAGGTCTTTGCTGTGTACATTCATATTGGCTGAAATAATGACAATTGTTTATGTCAAAGCTGTCATGTTGAAGATTTTTTGTAAGGTATACACTTAATATTCAATTAAATGACAAAATATAAATTCTAGGACCTTAACATTATATTCCACAAGGAAGTGGTGACTAAGCATAAAATGCCAGAAAGAAAGTAGACATCCAAAGAGTACACAATACAATGAAGACCATAAAGGAATAAGCTGTCATTAATTATATTAACATCATCTGGTAGAAATCCACAAATAGGTACAACAGACAAGGTAAAGTAGATTTTGACAAAGAGCTCTATAGTTTATACTATTAAGCTACATATCAAAAAGTCCAAAAGTGATCTGTGGATGAAGCCAATGCCCAAAAAGAAAACAAAAGACATTCATTCAGTGTCTGTTGTACATAGTTCTTTATACAAATGCTAGAGCATTAGTTGTCATGGCCATCTTGTACTTAGAAAATTCTTCCATGTGAGGGTCAAAGATAACTCTTGTAGCACTTGAAAAGCTTGTCAATACAATTTCAGCTGACACATATGACAAGCAGATAAGCAACACAGGAAGTGAAGGCTAGGCAAAATGTCAAATTGACAATACACTCACTTTCATGAACAGTTTCAAGAGCAAAGAGGATAATAACTATTAGTGGATCCTTGTTGAGGTGATACTTGAACTTGTGAGCTGCAACCATGGCACTCTATCCATACAAGTAGCACTTAATTTTCTCAAGCCTAGATATAGCATCTTAAAGTTAGACAAGAAACAATGCTTAAGTAATAAATGATATAGAAGTAAAAGAAGTCAGGTTACTGTGGATTTTGCACAGTTAGGATAAGCTGGTAAGTTAAGTCTGTAGCCTTCCAAACCAATTCTAAAGGATGAATTTGAATCAGCTTTCCATACACATCTATTGTGAAATATAAAGATCAATAATAAGATTAAGGTGTACGCGTACAGGAAATGATGAAAAGATAATGTAAGGGGTTGATAAATTGCATAAATGAAAGGTTGAGGACAAAAACTGATACTACGAATAGAAGCAAAATGCATTGACAATAAAGGACAATCAAAGCATTGTCTCTCAAGTGTAAAGCTTTGCTTCAAGTATCCAATGTTAACAAACTTGAAGCAGTAATTTGGAAGTGCAGTGCGACATTCCTCAATAGTGGTCCTGGAATGAAAATGAATTTGGTACTGATGGTGCACCTCATCTCCCCAATATGCAACATCAAAGTTAGTAATGAGATAACAGTTGTCCTCAATTATCAAGTTGAGGAAACATTCCACAAGGCGTTCTTGACTAATGAAAGCGCGCATGCGATTCCCCTGAAATGTGAAACAACACAAAAAAGGTTCCTGCAAGTGATGATACTAGAAAGAAAGCTCAAATGAATAGTGAACATAATGAAAAATGAAGAGACTTTAACATAAACCTTATGGTCAATAAGGACAAAATCTAGGGAGCGAAGTCTCCTGAAGAAACCATTCCAGAAATGACCTGCGTATGGGTAGCTATGGACAAAGACACGAGCCACACGCACACAAATTCTCCAGCCATCAATACCGGGACGTATGGCATCAAGAAATGAGTAACCAGGATTAGCCATTTAGCATTGAAAATGAAATGATGATATAACGAGGAATGGATGTGATGAGCAGATATATTAGACGATATGAGAAATATATATAGAGAGGTCAGAGAAAGATAAAATGAATCCGATAAAAATTCGAGTGAAATTAATTGTCTGGGTCAGCTGAAGAGAAGGTCATAATGGAAATGAAAATAAAACCAAGGCATATGAGACGGGAGAATGACAGTGAAGTGTAGAGAACAAAAATCATTATGCTGATCAATTAATCAGATGTCGACCTTGCTTTGGTTAATGTACAAGAGTTAGACGGCAATGACAATTGCTTTTCCAATGTTATTAATGTGATTAGAAAGAATGTCTACTAATGACAATAGTGATCAGAAAATAGGCAAGAAGAAGCAGCGTGTAGCAATGAGTATCCCAAACAGTGGTGATATGGGAAAATTAATTTTACTGACAGATAGACAACTTCATTAAATGAAATAACTATTTATCTGAACAAAAATGAAGACAATTAAATTGAATCATTGAAATCGAGACTCCACAAATGTAAAATGAAAAATTAAAAACTCCACAAGTATTCAGCTAAACAAAAATCAAGAAAAAGAAAATTTTAAAATAAAACACCTTGGTGGCCTTTGACGAAAATGACAGGCATTAAACAATCCTAAAAAGAATGGAATACAAAATTGCCAAATAATAAAATTGTTTGATTCGCTTTAGCTTGTATATCAATCCAAACAAAAGAATTGATAGTTTAGAAATAGTTAGAAAAACATTAAAAAAATAAGACATCTTGGTGGCCCTTGTCAATAATTATAACCGTCAGTGGGTATAACAAAAAATAAAAGATTTTGGTGACCCTTACCAATTAAAAATGTGATAATTATTTAATGTAAAAATTCTCTCAAAATGTGAAGAAAAAGTTTATCAGTAAGATGAACAAAAGGTCTACGTCAAAATTTGAAAAGACTATCTTGTTTAATTAAATATTTTGTTAAAATATTTATTTTAAAAGCATATAAATGTATACTAAATGCATTTGCCTAATATAATCATATAAAGACTTCTAGAAGTAAATGAGTATGACGCAAAATATTATACGTAAGGCATTTCATTAACTTCATATTGTATATTAAGGCACACAATTAAAGTGGTCATTAAAATTTAGATGAAAAATGAAATTAATGACATAGGCAAAATATGAAACTTGAAGACTGAAAATTAAGGTGAAAAGGGAGCAATTGAAGTGTTGCTTTGCAATGTTTGGGATAACTATATGCTAGACATGGGAGTAAATAAAAGACTAAAAAGCACAATATAGTAGAAGAAAGAGAAAAGTGAAACACTGCCACAACTTGTTCATATCAACACTAAATATTCCCACCACAAGAGAACCGGAATCGTCCACATAATATAAAAGAAACAGCATGGATAATTACAAAAGTGGAGCCAGAAAATAAAAGATGAGAAAATATTAGTTGACTATTGAAGTAGGACAACATAAGTCCTAAAGAAGATAACCGGTTCTTTTAATTCACATATCATGGGCCTAAAAACAAAAATAAACACAAAAGAGGCCGATCATCATGGAGTTCATTCAGGAGAGTAAGCTTGGACAAGGGCAGCAATCTTCTGACCAGCTTTAACAGATTCAGGACTCCAAAAGACACGAGTAGTTGGAGAAAAGTTCCTTATGGCTTTAATCCCTGTATATTAGAACCAATAAGAAGATTTTCAGAAACCATGCTCAACCATCAAGACGTCCCACTCCTCTGCTTCAGTCTGAGCTCCATAGATAATCTTGTAGTGGTTGTTCAATCCTTCACCCCCAAGTTGAACAGTAAAGCCCTTGATATAGTAGCACTTTCCCTCATCAATGCTTCCAAAGAAACGTTGGATGAGATGGTCCCCAACTACTGAAGCAAGCATCCTTTCACTCTACCAAGTGTTGACAAGGGTGAGAAGAAAAAAGATGACAAAAGAAAAAAAAATCAGCACCGAACACCAAGAAAGATTAACACAAAAGAAAGGAAAAAAAGAATCACTCAACATACATGATTATCAACAAAGATAAAGTCAAGTGAAAGTAACTTCTTTGGCCAACCACGCTCTGCTCCATAGATATCGAGCTCTGTTTTCAGAAAAGCACGGTTCACTTGAACACGGATCTCCCAGCAAGTGTCTGATGGATGAAGGTCACTCAACTTCCAAGTAAAAACATAAGACATGATGGAGAAACGGAGATGGAGACAACAAAGATTAGAGAGAAACAATAGCGAGAGGAAGGCAGAGAGATATGATGAGATGACGGTGTGAGCTAAAGAGAAGAGCAACAGGCGAATATAAAGGCACCAAGATACTTAGTAGGTGGTTGCAATAAATCCCTGCATCATATTAAATGAAATCACTTAACCAACAAATTAACTGAAAGGTGCAAAAAATTAAATGACTTAAATGAACGCAGGAATAGAAAAGAAACCTCAATCCTCACGCACACCGAGAAACAAAACCAAGAGTAAAGGAATACTGAATGAACACAGACCTGGTATGGGTAAGACACGTCTTAAAGCACTGTGATGATGAAGCACGAACATATCTGAAAAGAAATGCAGAAGCACAACGTAATAGAAGCCATATTACATGGAAAGAAAGGAATCCAACACAAGCCCTGTTGATAACGATAGGAGCCAACTTTTAAAAAGGGAGGGAAGCATAAAAATTGAATTGTTTTTTTTTTTTGAAAAAATAAGCGGGAAACATAGACGTACCAAAAAGCATCAAGAAGTTTAAAGCCAAAGATGAGCCGGCACTATTCATATGAGCCGGAACTATTCATCCTACAGGATAATGTGTCGAGAGCCATATGATGAGGCGCGCTCGGCTTAACGTGAATTGATTAAAGAGATTGATGTCTTGTGCCTCTGAGAAAATAGTTCACAAAAAAAATCTAAGGACTTGGAGCAAATTTATTCGTATCAAATTGAGACAAATTCAGGATCCAAGTCCACAAAGAAGGTCCAGCACGGTTGGCAAATAATTGAGTTTTCTAAGCATGTTATCACCTGACCTTGCAAGTTTTCTTTACTCGCTCTTTTAAACCTAATTTTGTTAAAACAAAATGGAGAGCTACGAGTCATATATACCGAATATTTAGACCCAATTTAATTTAAGAGGAGAGAATGGAGGAAAAAGGAGGTGAGGGGAGGGAATAAGGGGAAGGAAGGCCTCCCCTCCCTTTGTCCAGTAAAAGGGAGGGGAGGGGAAAATTTTTAAAACTTTTTTTCCCCTCCTCTCCTTTCCCCTCAACCAAAGAACGAAGTCTCCTTTTGACTCGTCAGGTTGGTGACGATGTATGTATTAGTGGAATAGATGATCGGAGAGTCACATTCAGATGGGATAGGCGGGGAGGCTATTGGGGCCCTCGTCACTTAACTCTCCTCAATTCTTGCACTCTTTTCCAACTTCCAGACAGCAAATGAGGTTAGGTGGCATGCTTCTTCACCTTGTTCAACAAATTACACAAGTTTGTATCTCTTGTCTGTCTTAAGGCAGTGTTCTTCTAAATAGCGTCACTATTTCGGTCTGAAACGGCAAAAACCTGAGTAAGCAAGAAGCAGCAGGAATGTGGCAATCAGGTCCAGGCTTCATTCTAACACATCCTCATCCGTGTGGACACGAAAAATCTGATGATGCTGAAAATGAAGACGACAAAAATGCAGCCGTGTTCTTTTCATATACTAATTCAGAATCTTGGATCTAAGGGTTAGCAAATAACTGGAGTGTTGAGACTACCTGATTCACCTGTTCTTCTCCTTCTCTAACCTCTCCTTCAAGATCATGTCCTGAACCTTTGCTCCACCTTTCGTATTTGATTGTTCTACTCGCTTATGAACACACTTCAGCAAAATTCAAACCAACAAATCATGCAAGAACCTTCTAATTTGACGCTTAAGAGGCACGTGCCATCCCATCTAGCAAGCTCTGTCTCTTGAATAGAAGTTCGGAATTATTCAACTCCTTCAAAATGGTTAAAATTCCAGAGACCAAACTACGTTTTTTCCCCCTTAAAAAATAGCATCTCTCTCGTATCTTCTGTTTCTTAAGTTTGCGTGAACTGCTTATTCCCTTTCTAGTATGGTATGTTCCCTAACCAGATTACTCTGTTTGGCCTGCTTTTATTCGAGTTTTAAACTTGTTTCAATACAAGTGAATGAAGGCTGAACCGAACTTTACACTCCTATTTCGAAAAATGTATGATGTATCAAATTTTTTTTCACCATAGAAGGTTTTTTCATTGAATGCCCTCCTATTTGTCCAATGCTTCATCGTCTCTGCTTGTGCCTTTTTAACATTAATGCAGATAGGACTCGTGAGCTCCAGGATACTATGTTTTGTTATGACCTTCATTACAGCAAGATCCTCCGCGTCGTACGATCAAACTTACGAAATAATAAAATTTCTTCTTCTCTTATTAAAGGATCAGGGAGAATACTAACGGATGAAACAGAGAAGAGGTACTTTGAAGGAAGCATTAGAAAGGCACTAAACCATAAGGTTCAGTTCGGTTTAAAATCAGTCAGTTTATGACCTTTCATGCCAGTAAATTCTTCAACTCTAAAATATACATAAACCTCAATCTGCAAGGGAAAAAAAAATGAAAGGGGCATTCTAAGGCTGGAAAAGCAACAAAAACACAATGGAGCAAAGAAGAAGAAGAAAGGGACGAGTCCCTTGACTAATAATATACAGAGTCATGTAAACATGAAAAGGTCAATCCTTTGGAAAATCAAAAAGTGTCGGAAGGCAGAGAAAGTGAGTCTGAGGAGAGTTGAGACAGCTTCTTATCGAGTTCAAGCGGAGATTTAGCCTTATGAGAGGTGACCAGAGCAGTAGAAGAAGTGGAAGGCGGAACATTGACGAAGCTCGTGGTCTGATTCTGAAGATGAAGATCGGCGGCGGTTTCTTGTTTAGGGGGCTGCAAGGGAAGCACAGCAGGAGAGACAGAAGGCAGAGGGCGAGGGTAGAAGAGGTCGGTGGGGAAGAAGTTGTATTGTTGAAGGCCAGCCATGAAGATGAAGATGGAGATGAAGATGAATGGAGGATGTTTTGTTGAAACAGAGAGGCAAGACCAAGAATTCAGAAGAGAAGACCTAAAGTCTCGTGGTGGTAGTTGCGTTGCGTTGTGGTGGTTGTACTTGTATGTATTTATAGGGAGAATCAAACCAAGAGACGAATTTGTGAAAAGGAGAGGGCTTGGGAATCAAGGGAGGCTTTTCTTGGAGAAGGGGTTGATTGCTGCGTGCGCTCTCTCATTCACGACTCGATGTTTCCGGTGTTCCTTTCTTGGTTTTCTAATTTTCATCAATTCTATTGGCTTCGTTGGGTTTGGCTTCTCAAATTTTATATGTTGGGTTCCATAATTTAAGTTCAAGTTAACAGTTACAATGATGTTAAATAAAAGTGAAAAAAAAAAAGAGCGCTGTTGTCCATTTAATTGGAGAAATCTGCTTTTTTTTTTTTTTACGAATACCATATGATTAATTTTAGGAATATATAAGTAAGGAAAGAAAATAAAAGTCTCCTTTGGACTTGTAAGGTTGGCGATTATCTACGAATTTGTGGAATAGACAATTGGAGAGTCACATGGGGCGGGCGGGGAGGGTGCCTTGTGCCTTTGTCCGTCTCCTCTCGATTGGATGCTTTTCACATTTCCATTAACGGTGCTGCTTTTCCGCTTAAACAATTTGATACTTCAGTTGTTTGCTTATATAAGCAAGTTTTACTAACATATCTTTTATACTGATAAGTGATAAACTTATTGGCCTCACCCAACGCAGAAAATCAGGGAAACATAATGGTGTCTAAACCAACATAATGGCAAAGATTGGACCGCTACTTTAAGGTAAGAAAAGGTAATTTAGCCCTTTTAAACCTTATTTTAAAAAAAAAAATTCAGTTTTAAGAAAATCACTGATGCTGAATATCTTTGACATCCAAGAGGTCTCACAAGGAGAAGAATCAAAATATATTGATGTTTACAGATAATATGATAATGATAATTTTCAAAATTTTGCTTATTATGCTAACAAAGTTTAATTTTCATTGATATTGATTTTGATATTACCGTTTAATATTAGATTTAACTATTTAAATTTTACATATTTGTTGATTGCTGTGCTATGGATTTACTTAAATTTATTTTTTTAGATTTAATCTTATATGTAATAACTTTTTTTAAGATTATAAATATTTTCCAAAATTTTTAAATTGAAAAAGAATAGAGCTAAGGCTTCCATGGCCAACCCTTCAATCTTTAGGCAGCTCCAAGCATTATGAAATAAAGTCATGATGTGTAATTGGGCTTAACAAGGTTGGCTCCATTTTTTTTTTTAGCCAATAAGTTAGCCCCATTTATGCCCTAATCGTTTAAAGGCTAAGCTAATCCTAATTACCAACTCTAAATGGAAATGACAAATGAAGTTAGGTAGAGCATGTTTTGCCTTGTTCAGCAATTAAATAAGTTATCTGGATAAGGAAGACAAGTTTGTGCCTCTTGTCGAAGCTAGGTTTCTTTTCAAAAGCATCATTGATTAAAGTCTAAAACAACAAAACCCGAGTGAATTCATAAATTTTATGAATATAAGGTACAGTTGGGCTTAATAAGATTAGCCTGTTTAGGCCTAGCCCTTTGAACAAATTATCAACTCTAAATAGAGATGACAAATGAAATCAGCTAGGTAGAATATACTTCATCTTATTCAACAAATCAAACAAGTGATCAAAATAAGGAAGACAAGTTTGTGTCTCTCATTCAAGCCAGTTTTCTTCTCAAAAGCATCACTGATTGAGTCTAAGACAGCAAAACCTGAGTGAGGTTGTAAATTTTATGAATATTAGCTACTCTTGCTACGAGGTTTAGTTTCTTTCAATATAATTTGCTTTTTCAGCGGCAAATAAATTTCCATAAAAAACCTGAAAAATCTCGGGACATGCGCGTGCAACCTGAGTCTAAAACAAGCTTCACATTTTCAACCATTTACACTCATGGAAATTCTCCACAATTTGTATTTTACAATTTCAAGGTCCTAAAAAAAAGAGCAAAGCATTAAATAGAGTGCCACAAAATTCTCAAAGTCAACAGTCGATGTACAAGAACCAAAAAAAAAAAAAGGTCATTCATTACATAAGCATATGAATATGGCATAATCGTATGTGCACTACCAACATAACCTTTTATAATTGAGCGATGGTTCAGTAAGTGGTGGCTATTATTTACCTTCTACGTACACAGGCCATGAGATGAAATCAAGAAACAGTAGGAGTGAGGCAATCAAATACTTCTATTCTAACTGCGGCTGGCTTAAGTCCAGGGTTCATTCTAACACATCCCCCTTTGCACGGAGACGAAAAATGTGAAGATGCTGAAGACGAAGACGATAAAAATGCAGAAGCATTCACTTCATGGACAAATTGGGAATCTTGGATCAAAGGGTTAACAGATCGAACTGGAGGTCAGCCAACAAAATAAGAAGGTGATAAGGCTACTTGATTTGCCTGTTCTTCTCCATGACTCTCCCTGAAGATTATGTCTAGAGCATCTGCCCCACCTTTCGAATCATACCCTTCAACTTGATGACTCAAATGATCTCCAAATGGTCTAACAAACATCAGAGATAATATCCTGACTCACCGGGGCTTGGGGCAAATGACATGCTCCTTCCCATTAGACGTGGTTTCATAGCCTCTCATCTCTTCAAGAGACGCCAATACGTTCTGCTCAGCTTCATAATACTTCGTCTTTGAAACCAATTAGATTCAGAAGGAAGATGCCTTTGGAAAACATTAAAACCTTCTCTCTTGGTCAGTCAAAAAGTATAAAACCATGCAAGACAAAGACTTGTTCCATTTCATCCCCATGAGTTCTCTGTTCTGACTTTGTGATAGCAACCAATGAAAAATTACCAGAGTTCGGAGTGAAAATGTAAAAGCATCACGTTACATAATCGAGTACAGCTAACATTCCGTATGAGATGCCAAAGAAATATAACCAAAACTTGCATCATCAATCCATCCACCTTAATTGTTACCAGTCAAGAAATGGAAGGGGAAGCAAGTGAATGTTTGGAGAGATTGACCGCTCAAAATGTGATTTTAACCACAAAAAACACCAATTGAGAGTAAAATAAATTACAGGACAAACTACAGCAAAAAATTTTATACGTTCTGTCTGGGAGACATAACTACTAAATTAAAGCTCAAACCAATTTGTTTAACTAATAACAGAAGATGACTGGTGGCTATAATCAAAAGATCTAGATCTTAAAGAAGGATTCAAAGTTCGCTTCTCACATGTTTTTATTTTCTTTTTACGAATATGCTTCATATTTTCAGCATAAATTCAAGAAACCAAAATTAATCTAAAATTTCGAATAAGTTAAACCGAATTCGATATAGATAGCAAATGCTAGGTAGAATGCAATTGGTTATGTTTCCAAAAAATAACATTGCGAAATATAGGATTTCATTCGATAGATGTTGACTTCTTTTAAATTTTGACAGCCATAACAAACTTATCAAAAGGAACCGACTGATTGAGAAGGGAAGCCATCAATATTGAATAAAATGAAATATAAGATGAACTGAAGAAGAGTACTTAGAAACTACACATTTATAAACTAAACAAGTATGGCTAACAGTACTTGAGAAAAGAATGAAACATTCGACAGACCGCCCTAAAAGAACCGTCATTTCATTTTGTCTTGCCTAACACATGTGCTAAGCTTACAAGTAAAAGCATGGCCTGAACTACATTACAGTGCAACATTCCATTCTCAATTCTATCAAGTTCCAATAAAGGAGGAAGCACAATCACTGCTATCATAACCCAAATAGGAAGCCATCCATATTGTGGAAAGAAAGAGAGTGCTTCAAACCTATGGATAGAGGGAAAGCAACAATCGAGGAATCAATCTAATTCCTTAACAATCTTAATCCCCATTGTATTAGCGGTGCCAATGATGGACTTGGAAATGGATTCAAGAGACATGTATTGGCAATAAGGATCGGATTGTTTGATCTTCGCGATCTCGTAGATGTGTTTCAGAGAGAGCGTAGAAGCCACCACGTGGCCTGGGCGGCTGCTGCCGGATTCAACGCCAGCTGCTTTCTTGAGATACCAAGTTACAGAGGGAGATTTGACGGTGAATTCGAAGGTGTTATCCTTGAAGGCCGTGATAGTCACCGCCATGGGCGTGTCTGGCTTGTACTTCTGGGTTCGCGCATTGAAGTCCTTGCAGAACGCCATGAGATTGAGCCTATACTGACCCAGCGCCGGACCCACAGGTGGCGCAGGGCGTGCCCCTCCAGCCGGCACGGTCAGCCTGATGGTGGCCGCCACTGGTCGCCGGGTAAGGATCTCCTTCAGGGTCGACATGGGTCTGGTACTCTCGTAGGGGAGCAGCAGCCGATGGTTTAAAGATCAAATTAGGGCCTTTTGTTGATGGACCCAGGCCCATTTACCTTTCGCAAAACGCCAATCCGTTTATCTTAAGCCCATTTATGTATTCCAACTTTTAAAAAGACCTAAGCTAGTTCCTTCAACTGCAACCACGTGGTCTGTACCAGAAAAAGATTGCAAATACGTGGGTTGTGGTTCTAAAAGAGGATATGGGCTTGCGCCTTGTAGTCCTTTTATTTTTATTTTTATTATTATATAAAAATATATATTTGCAGGTTGTTATAATTTTACTCAATTTTAAATTACATTTTTATAATTTATTTTATTTTAATTAAACCCTTATAATTTTATTTATTATATATATTGACCCCTAAAAGTTAAAATTAATAATAAATTATTAAATTTTACAAAAGAAAAATACTCTTACAATTTGTAGAAAATTTAATTTAATGCTTTAGTCAAATTTGATGAAAAAATTGATTTAATTGACTTTTTATATTTATATTTTAATTTTTTATGAAAATTTTACATGTATAAAAAATATTTAGAAGACAACTTAATTATATAAATTTTGAGGTATAAAAATTATGTAATTAATTCTAAAGTCATATAATCATTTAATAAAAATATAAAATTTCTTAATTTTGTTTTTAAAAGGAAAATGTAAGAATTTCAATTTTCAATGATTAAAAAATTTAGTTGGTTAAACTATAAGGGCTCAATTGAAATAAAATAAACTACAAGAATTTAATTTAAAATTAAGCGAAACTGTAACTGCAGATTTGTTTTCCCTTATAAAAAATATACCTGGTTTTTTTGCCAAGTGCATTGGTTGATTTTGGAAATTAAAGTGTGCTCCCTCCAAATTATCTATTAACAAATTTAAATAGATTAAAAATTGCAGTTAAAATTTGTTAATGTTTTAAAAATTTTAAAATTTTTTTGATGAAATTTATTAATTAAAGGAGATTGTTTAGTTGGTTAGGATGCTATTTGGTTAGTTAAGAAATATCAATTAAAAGTCTTGACTAAGAATCATGGGGAAGAGCCTTGGCAAAGAGCAGCATGCACATCATTTTCTCAATGACATTGAATATTTCGAATTTTGTCGTTTTAATATTAAAGATTTATTCTTGATATATTTCTGAAGAATTAATTTAGTTTTATCGAATACATTTTTAATTACGTAAACTACCCATAAAAAAATGAAGGTGAAGTAAGGTACTGTCTCCCTTTTTAATAGTGTTTAAGGAAAATGACTCTGCATTACCATTGCCTAATAATACAAGAGGGATCGCCGGCCCATTCAGAGGACCACATGTGCGTCGGTGCTTATATTCTAATCAAATGGATTTATCAAGTCCGAATATATATATATATATATATATATATATATATATAGTTTCTCCCGGAACAATTGTTGCGTCCTTTAAGCATAAATCAACGTACGTATTTGGTATCAAGAATAAGACATGCATTACTGTGGTCCTAAGAGATACGAGTTGACAATAATTTTGATCTGGAAGGAATACGCAACAAAAATTTATATCTATTAAATTTTTAAAAAGTTATAACGAGCTTAGTGGGAGTTGGGACTTGCTTCTTGATTTATAAGGGAGCCCCATATACTCACCACATTATCAAACAACTACCTTCTGGCTTTATCAATTTTTTCTCACTTTAAATGATTTTTCATTCACAAATTACTGTGATTGGTTTTAATATATTAGTTAAATTAGTAAGTGAGTCTCTCGTATATCGTGCAAAAATTTAAAAATATCTATTATTCATTGTTTATAAATAATGTAATTTGCTATAAAATTTATTATTTCATAATAATATCGATAGCGATGATTGCAAGAGCAATTTGTAAAAATAAGATAAATTTCAGGCCCTATATATCGCTACATGCATGAAATAGGAAGAACAAAATTTGTGAATATATATTACTCATACTAGTACTACAGTACATAATTGAAAACTTACCATACCCTCTCAGCTTCTCTATGAATACATCTCTTAGTATTTAATCATATCTATCCATTTAATTATTTATTTAATTTAATGATGTGTTGATCATGATATTAAAATAAATATACTATTTATTAAAGATTATTATAAATAAGCATTATAAACTAATTTTAAAAACCTTTTAAGAGGTAATAGTAAATAATTTATTTAATTTACTATCATCAAATCAAATGAATCGATGAGATTAAGCACTGAGAGATGATGGTATAGAGAGTATCCAAATCCTTCACCCCACCTCACGCCAGTGCTTTGTGACGTGGCTAACGATCTTCCGTCATTATATAATTTACTAAATGGTACGACACGATAGCACGAATAAATGTGTAATGCTAATTCAGTAATTTGTCCCTCGTTTTGTTTGAGATTGACGACGCCTTTGCTAAACAGAAATTAGCTGCTTCTTTTTTGGAGTTGGCTTCTCTTCATTTTCTTCTTTCTCTATTTTCTCTTCACTTTTCATATCAATCATTGGATCTATTTTTTAATGGTTCAGATTTGATGTTTTATAAAATTATTATTAAATTTTAATAATAATTTTATGAAACATCAAATCTGAACCATTGAAAAATAAATTCAATGATTGATATGGAAAGTGGTGAGAAAATGGAGAGGGGAGGAAATAGAGAAGCCAACTCCTTTTTTTTTAGGGAATATGCCGGAGTCTACCAATAAATACGACACGAATGATTATTTAAAATGATTAAATTACCCATTATTAAATATTAAAGATTAAATTAAATGGAGCACGACAAGGCAGACATCCAATCCAATCCATGTTCATGTTGAATGTTCATATTTTGTGGTTCAAATTAAATGAATCGACAAAAATGGATCAGATTTGTGGTTCAGCAATCTTTTTCTGTCACATTCCGAAGACCCACTGAAACGATGAGACATAAAACATACCCGCACAAATAATGAAATCAGCCATGTCGCACGTTGGAAAAAGTGAGATAGCAATGCAGATGAACCTGAAATGGACTCTTTCTCTCTATAAATACGTGTATGAATGAAAGCTAGCGAAGAACGTGCATGAAAAGCGTCGATCATTTAATTAATCATCTCCGTGTATTTAGATTAACGATGGAGTCCCAAACAGTTTCTCAGCCCGAATTTCCTTTGTTTGATTTCTCTATCCCAGAGTTGAAGCCTGGGTCAGACGAATGGGTTTCAACCTGCAAAGCTCTGCGGATCGCCCTTGAAGATCACGGGGCATTCCTAGTACTCTATAACAAGGTTGATGACTCCATTTATGCTTCATCCCGACAACTATTTGATCTCTCAACACAAGCCAAGATGCAAGAAACCAGTGAAAAGCCTGCTCATGGCTACGTTGGCCAAGTACCCGGAGCCCCTCTCTTCGAATCTCACGCCGTCGACAATCCTTTGAGCCAACAAGATTGCCAGAAGTTCGCACGCATCCTATGGCCATCTGGAAACGACTTCTTCAGGTATCTATCTTTAATTCATCTGCCTCAACACACAACTTACAGACTGTCTATAACTGATAATTTCTCATGCTATGTGTAAGTGACTATGTGTAGCGAAGCTGTGAGTGCGTATGCGAAGGGATTGGTGGAGTTAGACCAAATGTTGAAGAGGATGGTGTTTGAGAGCTACGGAATTGATAGTGAGAAATGTGAAAGTTTCCTGGAATCTAACAAATACGTGCTGAGATTTTACAAATACTTGCCAGCTCGAACAGACGAAGGGGAAAATGGAGTGTTACCTCACCCGGACACAACCTTGTTCACCATATTGCATCAAGACAGCGAAGGCTTGGAAGTCCAGAACAAGGATGATCAATGGGTTAGGGTTGACGTCTCACCATCCTTGTTTTGCGTCGTCGTGGGCGATGCATTCTCGGTGACCTTCCCTTGTCATTATATTATGATACTATATGTATAAAAAAACGCGTTTTATTTCCCAATCGACGTACTGGTGTTATACAATGAACATGATTCGTGTATTTTCGTATTAATTGATGGGTTAGGTATGGAGCAATGACAGGATATGCCCTCGTTACCACCAAGTGATGATAAAGACGAAGACACGTCCCAGGTACAGCATAGGACTTCTTTCGTATGCTGGTCAAACGATAAGTCCGCAAGAGGAACTAGTAGATGACCAGCATCCATTACGCTACAAGCCATTCAACCACTATAAATATCTGACTGCCATTGCCACTAAAGAAGGCTTGAATTCTGATTATCAGCATCGACTCAAGGAATTTTGTGGCGTTTGAGCCCCTAGTATGGATGAATGAGTATGTTTGCCATTTGTCTCTGTTATTGTTATGTGAATAAAATGGTTTATAGTTGTATTGCCCAAAGAACACTGGCTCGTATGTGGCATTTCTTTGGACATAAGAACGAGGGGTCTGAGGTTTGTGTGTCGAATAATGTTAATTTTGTTTGTGTTAGTTGCTTTCTTCTTCGGGGCGACTCATGTGATGTATATGATCTATTGTATCCTTTTGGAGAATAAATGTATGTTGGGTGTGTTTTCTTTTTCAGTGCTCTTCATATAAATAAATGAGCACTAAAAGCTCATTGCTCTTGGACTGTTTAGATATGATTTTATGGACCAAATTTACGAATTTTTGCTATTATTCTTTTCAAAAAGTTATTTTAATAAATACAAAATTTAAAATAAGAACAAATTTTTAACTGTTAGTTTTTCAAAAAAATATTTTTTTAATTCACAAACACTGATTAAAAAATTATAAGTGATGAGTTCTCAATACTCATCTATCTAATAAGTACTAAAATTAGTCCCATTTTCTTAGTGTTTACGTGCGTCTTTCTTTTAGAGCAAATGAGTAATATTGTGACGCCTTCTGTAGACATAATTAAATGCGTAAAGGGTGTTTTGATTTTGAGTATTAAAGCTATTCAACTAAAGTCAACCTTGTCATATGATTATCTTACTTTCTCTTTCGCTAAAGAAGAAAGCCCTCAACTAAAGTCACTCTTGAATCTTGATTGTGCTCCCGGGTGAATAAACTTGGGCTATCTCTTCACTAGGATAACTTCTTCCTCGCCTCCGATCCAGCTGATTAATTATAAGTGGCTATATTATTAATTCATCGGGCTTCACTCACACTTTTTTCCCCCGATGTACGTACAGTTAATAGTTTTAAATCGTTTCTTTTGATTAATAAAACCTCGTAAATATCGAAGTTATGCTTTACTTTCAGTTTTGGTTAGTGGTTACACAATCAGAATTATTACCAAGTGCCTTTATTGCTATCACACACGAGCTAAAAAGCCGTTCTCGAATTTTAACCTTGATTCAAACAAAATAGGAGCCCTCCTCACTCCAAACCATTATTTATTGTCCTTGAACTCGATTTTAATTAAAACTTAATATTTCGATTTCAATTAAAAAAATCTGGCCGCTGAATAAATTTTAATGAACTCGATACAGTGGCTCCAAATGTAGGCTATGGTTATTTATTTCAAAAATCAATGAAAACTTGAGATAAAATTTTCAAAATTGAAATTAAAATTAATAGCTCAAAATTAGAGCCTAATTGGAAGCGTTCGATTGAAGGATTGGAAAACTAATTTATATATGTTCATGCCACTTAATTACTGCTATTCCCTTAGCAGAGTGATGATGAGTTTCATCCTTTTTATCTATATTGGAAAAATAGACACAAATTTATATGACTCGTATTAAAAAATTTTCTAAATCTTAGAAATAACTTGTAATATTAAAAGATTTTTGATTCGAATCATGATATTGACCAGTGTATGTGTGTGAACTTTTAAAAGGGAGATTAAATGCTAAGGAAATCAATTAATTCAAGTTAAATCCTAACTAATTTTAAAGTGCCAATAAAGTCTTTCGGTCATTTAGTGGTGATTAAGTCTAACATCCTAAAAAAATTTCAAGTTCAACTCCTAATTTTGCAACTTTATTGTGATTCATTTGCAACTTATTTTTTAAAATTTTCACAAAATTGTTGAAAAATAAACAATAAACAATGGATCTATTTTATTAATAAATAGGCAATAAGCAAAGAATAAACAATAGACTTAATATTTTTTAACATTAAGTATAAATATTTGCGTTCCCTATTAAAATCTATAAAAAAAATTATAAATTTATCACAACGAAATTAAAAAATTGAGAACCCAACTTGCAAATCAATGGAACTATTACATTTAATATTTTTTAATATTAAATATAAACATTTGTGTTTCTTATTACAATTAAACAAGTAAGTTGCAAATACATCATAACGAAGTTATAAAATAGGGAGTCAAATTTATAAATTTCTAGAACTATTAGACTAAATACTTCTCAACATTAAAGATGAACATTTGCGTTTCCTATTAAAATTTAAAAAAATAAATTATAAATATATTACAATAAAATTTTAAAATTAAAAGTTGAACTTACAAGTCCACTGAAAGACCAAGGACTCTATTGATATTTTAAAATTACTTAGGATTTTACTTAAATTCATTAGTTCCATAATTGGGATTTAACTATCATTTTTTCTTTTTAAAAGCCTTGAGAAATGGTTGCATCAATTGACAAATATATATATATATATATATATTGTTGGAGATAAATGGAGTGATTAAATACTGAAATACACAGTTGTGGTCCTTAAAAGGTGGCATGGGCTTGGCTTGTGCCTTGTGGTCCAGTTTTACAAGATTATTTTCATTTGGAAGAATCACTTTAAAATCTTGCTCATAATAATTAATTATTCATAAGTTTATTGACAATTGAGCTTAAGATAATATTGACATAAAATCTGTCGTCATTCTCTTAAGCTTTGTTAATAGATCTAAAAATAATTATTTAAATTTAGTGGAATTTGTATACAATTCTCCTTTTTATTTTTATAATAAACTGATACATGTACGCATTTTGTATTTAAAGGTGATGATATGGTTCAATGTTTAATCCAACAAAAAAAATTGTTAGGAATTGGGAGCAAAAACTTGAAAATGAGGAGAGAGGAGAGATAAGTAAGAATAGCATAAAGACGCCACTTTTTAACTCAAAACTTCAAGGTTCAAATTTATAAATCATTTTTCTTTATTTTTATATTAGTTATTAAATTCATCTTTATTCGATATGAGATTTCTCACATCTACTTAAGAGAAAAGATGGGTAAAAGTAATATTAACTCAAAACCTTAAAACTCAAGTTTATGGATCATTTTTCTTTGTTTTTATATTAGTTATTAAATTAAACTTTATCCGATGCGTTACTTCTCACATCTACTTAAATCTATCACATTTGGACAACCTAATAGAAATCATTTTCTTAAATAGTCAATACTATCAAATATTTTAAATTATACGTCAATCAAATATTAGTTTAAATTAAGAATACATTCTTAACCATCAACGTAATGTATACCTAAGATATTGAATCATTTTTTCTTCCTTTGAAATAACTAGCTCATATCATAAAAATTTAGATGGAGCTTATACATGCCTAAGATAATAGGGTAAAGGTGCAAGTTTGACTATATATTATTTTTCCAAGAGCATTTAGCAACCTAAACAATCAGGTGGTGCGAAATAAATTATCAACTTTCAACAACAGAGCATCCAGTAGCCCACCATTAACTTCACCTAATGGACATTATGTGGGTCCTATAATGACACGTGGCATTCCATGTCAGCATGTGTAAAGGTACAAATTTAGTTATAAACCATTTTTTAAGGAGCATTAAGTAGCCTCTACAATAAAAAATGAACCATCAACACCTTCCCATCAATTTTAAAACTCACAACGTATTAATCTTTTTAATTTTTTTGCCTTCATTTTTAATCTCAGTTGGAGAAGAAAAGATTCAAATAGAGTTCTTATCTAAAGATATTTATAAAGATAATGCCAACAAAGTAAAAGAAATAATTAGTGGCTAAATTAAGCTAGAATCAAATTTTTTTTATATATAGTGAAATCAAGCTTCTACTTCATTGGTGTTGTCTTCATGAATATTTTTAAATAAGAACTCTTTGAACGTCTTCTTTTTGAGTTAACATTGAGAATGAAGTTAAGAAGATTAAAGAGATTAACGAGTTGTGTGAGCCTTATAAGTATGAAGACAAATGCTGTTTGGTCAAAATTGAGAAAAAGGTATTGAATGATCCATTTTTATAGTTGAGGCTTCTCAATGCTTTTCAAAAAATAGTTCGTGATTAAATTTACACTTTTACGCATGCTGACATGGAGTGCCATATATCATTGTGGACTCATATAACGTTTATTAGGTGAAATTAATGGCGAACTACTGGATGCTCCGTTTTTCTAAAGTTGATAATTTATTTCGCATCATTTGATAATTTAAGTTACCAAATACTCCTGAAAAAATAATTCATGATCAAATTTACTATTTTACCCAAGATAATAATTAGAATTCAAACATGTAATTACTAAATAACCCATGATTTAAGCTAGGATTGTAGAGTTGAGGGCCACAAAAAAGAGGCTAGAATTGTAGAGCGTCATGGTTTGTTTGGTTGTCACCTTTGTTTGTAATTAACGCTTGTCCCTAACAATCCACAAAAATGCTTGCCCTTTGAGGTCACGACAGCACGGAGAAAAGTCTTTCAAAGCAAGAATAGAGAACTCCCATATAATTGTACCATTTCACTTTTATTAATGTTGAAGATAATCCCAAAACATCATTATCTCTTGATAATAGATGAGATCTCTCGGGACCAATCAAAGGACCACACGCCACCACCTTGTATGCCCTAATCAATGCACGCGCGTATTTTGTATTAAGAAAATATGACCCTTGTCCGGAAGATCTGAATTTTACGAGCTGCCGACGGAAAAAAACATACAAAAAGTGGTCCACACAGCTGACAAATAAATTTAAACTATTGTGTATAATAAGATATATTTTTTTCAATCTTATTCGCGAATTATTTTCAATATATTTTATTGAAATAAATAAAAATTTTAAATTTCATTAACTTTATCATAAAATTGAGCTGAATTATTTTAAATAATTTTTCAGAAAGGGCATTAAGATAAATACGAATATAGAAAATAGTTAAATATCCTATAAATAAAATTAAAATTAATATTCTCTTTTCACTCTATAAATAGGACCAAAAAGAGTATATACCATGTTCCTTGAAGATGTATAATTCTAAAATATATTTGTCTGGCAAAAAATTTCTTAAATATACTTGTCAAATAAAAAAATATTAACCATAATTTCGAAAGATATAAATACTAGTTTAATATTTAAAAGTTAGTGCTAATAGTAATTATAATTTTTTAAAAGAAAAATATTTATAAACCCAACGATGATTGATCGATTTCATATCCCGTACATCCTTTTCGGAGAAGCCAACAAGGCAGGGTGATGACTTGCTAAAAACTGGACGAGACCGGAGCTTGGAGAAGATTTTGATTTTTGAGTGACGCACCGCCAGCAGCAGTGAGTACGTGCCATGCACGAGGATGCTTTTCACCTAACCTGACCATATATATGCAACATCATATGAGCGTGGAGCGGCAGGCTTGTGCCACCTTTGTAGTGATGTAATCCAAATTATATATATACTGTAAAAACTAATGTAATAGGTACATCATAAAATAAGACAAAATTATCTAGCATCAATTGGATTTCAGGGTCCCCCTATTGGTCCCCTCGATCGGATCCCTGTCAACTGATTTAGGTCCCCACTGACTAATACGAAGAAGTTGCTTCACGTTAACCCCTCAATTTCCCTGGATGTATATAACATAAAACACTTACAGGGCTAATCGTATCAGTTCTGTAACTTTGAGTGCTGAGAAATCAAAGCAAAACAATAAAAGCGCATCAATCCGGCCATCATGGGGTCCGAAACACGTTGTCAACTCGCGGTCGTGGACGTCACTGCTAAAAACATGAAGCCTGGCTCAGAAGCTTGGGTTTCAGCCTGTGGTGTCGTGCGTCGCTCACTCGAAGAAGATGGCTGTTTCATTGCACTTTATGATAAAGTCAGCCCGGGGCTTTGCCATTCTATGTTGTCTGCGCTGGATGAACTGTTTGGTCTCCCTTTAGAAACCAAAAAGCAACTCACCAGCGACAAGCTTTTCCATAGCTACTTTGGAGTCTCGTGGCTTCCCTTGTACGAGTCCGTGGCCATCGACAATGCTCTGTCCGATGATGGTTGCCAAAAGTTCGCTCACATTATGTGGCCTCAAGGAAATGATCGTTTCTGGTATATATACATATACCCTTGCACACATCCTTATTTTTAACCTCGCGCGTTATTAGTTTCTGAACGTTATGATTTTGTCGTGAATGATATATACATTTAAATTTGAAACAGTGAAATAATGAAAGAGTATGGAAAGTGGATGGCGGAACTCGACCGTTTGGCGAAGAGAATGGTGTTCGATAGCTACGGGGTGGGCAAGAAGCCATGCGAATCATTCCTAGAATCAAACGACTATCTGCTTCGATTCTTGAAGTACAGAAAACCGGAGAAGGATGAGAGTAACTTGGGATTGCATGCTCACTCGGACCTGACGCTGCTATCCCTATTGCATCAACTCAATTTCGGAGGCCTGGAAATCAAACCCAAGGGCAAGGACTACTGGATCGAGGTTGATGCCTCCCCCTCCTCCTTCGTCGTCATGGCCGGTGACGCATTAAAGGTGAGATGATGTATATCCATATATCACTTGAAATGCATGGTTCAATTGAAATTCAAGCGCACGCATGCATGAAACTGACCGTTGTTGGTACATGCGCACGTAGGTGTGGAGTAACGGGAGGGTGCACTCGTGTGAACACCGAGTTGTGATGAAGAATGCAGAGAGAACGAGGTATTCGGTGGGATTCTTTTCGTTCAGCGGGAAGACGATGGAGGTGCCGGAGGAGCTGGTGGACGAGCAGAATCCCTTGCGTTATAGACCATTTGATAATTATGATTACCTTCGGTTCTGTGACACTACCAAAATCAAAGATCCTGCTGAGGTGCGTCTCGCAACTTATTGCGGTGTTTGAAAGAAAGCTGGTCAGTTTCTCTTTTTCAACAAACAGGGTGGGTGGGTGTCTTGGTGCTTTTCAAATTATGGGCTTCCTGTTGTTTCTTCCTGTTTTAAATAACGGACTAATGAAGTCAACCTAGCGTCCGTGCGTTAACATGCATATTAATACATGCCTTGATGTACTCAGGAGTTTGCTTGTTATTTCTCGATCTTGTCTAGTAAAAGTCAAGAGTGACCCGTGTATTAGTCATGGCAAAATAATTTTTCTTTTTAATTTTCATTATTTCAGCGACGATGTTGGCAATAATATATGTTGGACATATAATGCGCCCAGCTTTTTATAAGTAAAGAAATATTAATTGATATGATGCGCTGTCCTTTAAACGGGGACGGATTTGGGGGACAAGAAGGGGTCTCGCTCACCCCCTTGACAATTCTTTTGCAAAATTTATTTGGTTTTTACTTGTAAAAAAAATGCTAAAATTAGTTTTTCTCCACTAATATGTAATTTTTTATGACCCTCCACACCATTGTTTCTAGATCTGTCCCTGCCTGTAAATTAAGCCAAAAGGAAAAATTATATTCAGCAACCTTAATTTTCCAAAAAAAAAAAAAAAAGCATCCCAGAGTCTTTAGAAATCATAAGCATTGAATTTTTTTCTTGATTATAAGCAAACAAAACTAACCAATTTCCAGTGTAATTAATATATATTTTCAGTTGTGCCGCTCATATATATTCAAAATTAGAAAAGAGGAGGAGTTGAAATTATTGCAATAAATGACTATCATTACTAAGTACTAACAGAGACATTTCATGAAAAAATTCAATCTCAGACATAAGCATGAATGTATGGAGTGTTGCAATTTGCAGAAAACATGGCGAATCCAATTTCAATGCTCATCACCTTTGATGAGATATGAATCATTTAAATTTAAAAATTTTATTTTTAGTTTTATTTTATATTTATTAATATAAAACTTTTAAAATTTATTAAAATTTTTAATAAAGTTGTGAATTACCAATTTAGATAGAATAAATTTAATTTAGATGATCCAACAATATTATAAAATTTTATATTATTTATAAATTAACTATTTAGATGTATTTTAAATAGTTCAAATTTAATACTAAAATTTTCTAAAAATTTTATATTTTTATTTTGAGAAATACAATATTAAAAATAAAGATAATTTTTTGATTGAAACTTTCTAAAAAATATTTTTTGAAAAAATAAATTTTAAAAATTTTAAGTTCAAATTGTTCAGTGTAAATTTAGATAGTTAATCTATAAAAATCATAAAAAATTAATATTAAATTTAAATTATCCAAATTAAATCTGAATTATCCAGATTAATAATAAATATTTATAAAACAAATTTATTAAATTTTTATATTAATAAATATAAAATAAAAATAAAAACTTTAAATTTAGACAATTCATACTAAATTTGGATAGATTAGATTTCATAAATGTGAAGCACAGAAACTCAAACTGATATAGCAGATGAATCAATTAATTAATGAATGGGGGAATGGAATTTGATTAGTTTGAAATTATAAAATAATCTTTATTAAGACGTGCCACAATATTTTGATGACAGTTGGATTAAATAAATGAATGGTTGGATTTCACTAATTGCATTTAATTTGTCAAGTAATTTTCTTGACCCCTGAATAAGCCCACCAGCACAGAGTCTCCTAACAAACTCCCAATCGCAGTTATTAAGTCGCTTTCAAGACAAAATACTATAGCCCATGTATAGTTATAACACAACAGCGAGCTAATCGTATAAGATTTGGAGGCACAGAAACTTTTGACTTGTGAGGATACTAAGAAACTTAGCGAAGCCATATCATGGGATCCGAAACAGAGTGTGAGCTTGGCGTGGTAAATTTCAGCGACAAGAACATGAAACCTGGTTCAAACGAATGGGCTTCAGCCTGTCGTGTAGTGCGTCGTGGACTGGAACGTGATGGCTGCTTCATTGCACTCTACGATCAAGCGAGTCCAGGGCTCTGCAACTCAATGATATCTGCGATGGGCCAGCTGTTTCATCTCCCTTTAGAAACCAAGATGCAAGAGACCAGCCCCAAGATTTTCCACGGCTATTATGGCCAATACTCTTTGCTTCCTCTCTACGAATCTCTGGGCATCGACGATCCTCTGACCATGGAAGGATGCCAAAAGTTCGTTCACATCATGTGGCCTCAGGGAAACGATCGTTTCTGGTATTAGTTACAATAATCATTTGCTTTAATTTGTTGCGACTTTATATTCCTACGAACTTTTGTTTTTTTCTTTTTTGGGAAAAATATGTAGTGAAATAGTTAATGAGTATGCGAGGGTGGTGGGAGAAATTGACCGCTTGGCGTATAGAATGATGTTTGAGAGCTACGGTCTGGATCAGGATGCGTGCGATTCTTTGGTGGAATCAAACAACTATCTGCTTCGATGCTTCAAATACAGAAAACCAGAGATGCAAGAGACAGATTTGGGAATCCATGCTCACACCGATATGAGTCTGTTTAGCATACTTCAGCAGCTCAATTTCGATGGCTTGGAAGTCAAACCAAAGGATGCGCAGAATTGGATTAAGATTGAAGCCTCACCCTCCTCCTTTGTTGTCATGGCCGGCGACGCACTCAAGGTCAGAGTTATGGATTACGTTAATTGGCTGTCTTATGATATAATTCTGTGCGTATGTATATTTGAAATTGGATGCATGATGAGGCAGGCGTGGAGTAATGGGAGGGTTCAGGCGTGTGAACACAGAGCGATGATGAAGGCAGAGAAGACGAGATACTCGATGGGACTATTTTCGTTTGGGGGGAAGACAATAGAGGTTCCGGAGGAGCTAGTGGATGAGAAGCATCCATTACTTTATAAACCCTTCGACCACTATGAATTCCTTCGCTTCTGTCAGACCCACAAAATTCAGCAATCTGATGCTCGAATCACTTCTTATTTCGGGCTGTAACTTGCCACTTCCCAATAATACAGAGGAAGCTATTTTATCTATCACTACTCCATTTCTTATCCAGCATATTCATCACTCTGAATTATGCTCTTCCATTTGTTTGTTTGTTTGTTCCTGGATTTACAATTTCAAGTCGTGTGCGTAATTAAGGGCGCAACAGCTTAGCATCTGCTGTTGAGTCATGCTGTATTGGAAACAAGTGTTTGTTAAGAAAATTCTCTTATTTCGTTATGCCAAAGCCCGCAATACTTAAGCTAAGTACTTTAATTTATTTGAATTTATATATATTTTCCTCAGTTTGGATGATATTTATCTGCTCGCAGTGAAGGGGTCTTCCATTTATTCCCTTTCGGACCATTGGCGACTAATACATCAGTCGAAATATAACTGTTTGTGATGCTATAATTAATCCATAGTACACACACACACACACATGTATGTATGTATATGCACGCTGGTTATAACCAAAATATGGGAAGACTCCAGTAGGTACGGGCATCCTTTATGCTTTATCTTTATTTACATATTATTCGGTCTTTAATAAAGTACACTTTCTAGGAGTTTTATTTTGTCTTTAATATAAAACATTTCATAAGACTTAATGAAACATTAACGAGTAGTTTTAAAAAAAATCCACAAATTTAACTGGTTTATTTAACTTGATTGGCATGTTTAACTTTAAGATTCAAAAGTAAAGTTAATAATTTTAATTAAGGACATTTTGGGAATTTTATAAAAGTTGTTGAAGAAATTAAGACTTTTGACTAATTTTAATAACCTTTCTTAATCAGCCTGATTTGATTAAAAGTATCTTATAAACTTCACTAAAAATACTATGTTTTATATCTTCCACTTCAATTTTCTATGTTATTCATAGAAGACGTTAATTTATAGAGTTAGATATGAGGTCTTTTAATGAAGAAATTATATCTTCTAACTCAACAAGGAAGAGTCTCCATGAGATTTCAATTGCAACCATCTACATGAATGTACAATGTTTGAATTTTAAGGGTTGCTTTGGAATGAAAAGTTAAAAACTCATCAAAAAGAATTGAGAGTTAGATCTATATATAAAATTAAAGCTTGTCTCTAATATACTTTTTACGGATGAATGTCATGCTCGCTCCATTGAAAGAAGTATCATGCTACCTTCTTTCATTGGAGCTTGGAATGGCAAAATATATGTGTTCGTAGCTGATAATAAATACCAGGCGTACCAGAAATGTTGAGTTTCAATTAATAATAAAGGATCTCGAGTTCCCTTACCATAATTTACTCGGATGTAAAAAGATATAAAGTTTTAGTAAAACAAGTGTATAATTTTTTTATTAAAATGTGAAAAGATTACAAACTAAAAACTAAAAAGGATTAATGAATATAAAATTTGTGAGTGTTTGATGAAGTGTTGACTAGTTTCTTCTGTATTTTCTTCTTCTGTTTATAGTATCAGAGTAGCGGTAGTCTTTCCTTTGAAATCTAGCACGTTTTGCTGAAGAATCACGGATCTCATGAAACTCATGACACGGTCTTTATTCAATGCTCTCCATTTTGATAACCAACCTGTTTCATCGAAATATTTAAGCATAAATTTTGATATTATTTAAGATCGTGTCTTCATGCCAATGGTCTAATATTTACAATTGATAGGATTTCGGCATGTTTATTTATTGTGGCTTTATTGAACCTCGGGGTCAACCCCTTTCATTTATATTGGGTTTGATGTTTCAGTTACTCAGCCCAACTAATACTGTGACTTATTTGAATGACGTTTCACATTTAGTTCAAATAATATGATACAACACTACCAATATGTCATGGCCATTTAATGAAAACAAAATTAAAGTTAGGTTAACCATGAATTCAATCATCAAAGCTCGTATATTAAGGTGGTAATTGGTGAAAAAAAGGGGACTTGAGGCGTCTATTTGATTCTTGTGTATCTTGATTCTTTGTGATTAATATATGTTTCCGTTGCTATTCAAAAAATTAAAAACAAAGGCCTTGAAAGGCACAAGAATAATAATTTTATTCTTGAGATCGATGAACAAGCTGTTTCTCATCCTTAAATGAATGAGCATAAATCATGGGTTCGTTGGTAGACTCGCAATGGCACGCATCATTGAACATACAGACAGAAATGTATGAATGTAGTTTAGCTTGGTAAATAAGTTTTGGTGACCTTTGTCTCTTGTTAGATTTCGATGGTGCTGTGGATCTTCATCTTGTATGATTCATATTTGGCATATTCCCATAAACTAAAAGAGGTGACGCGTAATAAAACAAAATTATAATTTAACCAAAACAAATGAATAATAGAAAAAGGAAAATACAAAGGAGGCCGTACTTTATCATATGGGGACCAAATTAAATTTAGAGACATCAATCACTCACGTCATCCGACGGAGAAAGATTAGGAATAGGATATAGGATCATGCTTATGATCAAATAAGCCAGGGCTAAATTGAAATATTTATTTAATGACATAATTCAGTGGTCCTATTATATATATATATATAGATGCATAATTTATTAGAAGTGGCCCTAGAAAGGAAGGCCCCCGAGCGTGGGGACCAAAAATACAACTATTGAAGATTTTTCTAACTTCAAGGCATTCAAATCGATCGACTAAAGAGATCCGGTACGAGTAGGAAGGAAGAGGATTTGCATCGGGACGAATGATGATAGTGAAGACACTGGTGAGTGCAATGATCACGTTGGCGTGAAAAAGAAAATTGGGAAACAAGTGCAACAGCCAAACCTTTTGTTTTTTTTTTTTTTGGTTTTTTCAGGTCGTACAAAACAAGGAAAGTAACACAATTTGCACTGACATTTAAATTTGGTGAGTGATCTAATTTCACCCACCAAAAAATGTTTTAATTTTAATTATTGAATTTTATTCATACTTAAAATTTATTAAAATATATTTTTTAAAAAATTAAAATTATTTTCACAATGAAAGTACCCTTCATATATGTTGTTTCTTTCAAAAAATATAGATTTAATAATTTTTAAGTATTATATAACAAAATTTTTTATAATAATTTGATTAAATCGAATAATTATTATTATGTCACATAAAAAATTCATTGAACTTAACCTACTTATCAAATTTAAATCCACCGTTTGGGCGGCAATAAACATGCATATAGTCAAATGTTGATTGTAATCCCATTATATGACTTCTTACTTTATTTGAAAACCTGATAAATCATTTTCCATATAAAATTGTCAGGCAGCCAAACTTAATTTTTCTGTTAAAGAAAGTACATTTTGCAATTGGAAAATAGACAACTTTCAAAATCTTTTTTTTTTCCTTAAGTACGTATATGCAAAATTATCTTTTTTATGGGATATTCGTGACGTGAAGAAAAAATAAATCTAGCAGATGCAAGACAATAGGTAAGGTGCCGTGTAAGGATGCACTCTAGTATTGATTTTGATTGGTACTTGAATTTAGTTATCTACCTTGTTCAATGAATATTAAAGTTAATGCTTTTAAATTAATTGATTGATAGACGGATGGGATATAATAGCTAGAGTGGATAGATATTGGGGATGTTTATCAGGTTGGTGTCTCATCCTAAAAAATAAATAGAATTAAAATTTTATCTCTTGTTCGATCCCTTTTAAGATCGGGATCAAATGAGATTGGGATTAAAATGTTTTGACAAAGCAAACAAAATATAACAAAAAGAGTTAGATGATAATATTTTTAAAATTTTTAAATTATATAATTTATTAAATCCAAAATTAAAATAATATAAGTATAAAAATTTAATCACTGAGTTATAATAACTACAATTTAAAGTGAAAGAATATACTTACAGCAACAACAATTTAAAGTCAAGTACACTTTAACCATAAATAACTTCTAAGCTACAAATATTATTACACATAATTATTGAATTACACAATTTAAATGGATAGTTGGTTATGTAAAAAAATATAAAATAATTAAACAAATATATACATATATTAACTCTAACAAAATAAATAATATATTAAATATCAATAAAAGAAAATAAAAAACATATAATAATATACATGGGATGGGACGAGACGTCCAAATGTTGATTCTATATTCCATTTAATCCTAAACATATTTTTGTTTTGTCCTGTAAAATCTTGTCTCATTTTTTTAGGACGAGACAAACTCATTTTGATATGATTAGGATAAAACCAAGTTAACCAAGGCAAGACAGGTGTGAACACCCCTCGTTATCACAAGTATAGGTTGAAAGGAAAAGCCTATTATAAGTGATTACAAAGTAATCAAAGGTGGGTTTGTTCCAAAAATAAAATAGAGGTGGGAATATGGGCCCACCTAGACCATATGAATTAGGAGAAATATGAGTTGGGTTGGGTTTAATTTATTTTTATATGGGTTAAAAAAATCTCAATCTAACCCAACCCTTGAGGATTGGTAAGTTAAATAGGCTAACCTGCCAATCCATTTATTTATTTTTAATTTATCTTTTATGAATTTAAAAAAATACACCTAAATAATGAGTTCTAATTTAATATTCCTTCATGATTCATTCTAAATATACCAAAATATTAATTTATAATATTTGTATAAAATATATAAATTAATTCAGCTAAGTAAGTCATGCCCAATATAGTTTATATTCATAAATTTTTTTCCTTTTTTATTTTTTTTAAAAATAATATGGATTAAACAGGCAAATCCTAACTCATCAGATTTAACCCATATGATTCATAAGTTATATAATCAAAGCCAAAAAAATGCGTTTTTATTTGGGTTAATTTTTTTTCAACTAGACCTGACCCTTATGACTAGTTATTCAAATCAACTTATATAACCTTATCCATATTCCTTACTTTAAAAGTAATCAAAACATTTATCTTTTGATAAGTAAACATATTGGCACAACCCTCCCGTGAAATTTGCACAACTCTCTTCTTAGAAAGGAAAATTTTTTAGTATAGCTGACCCGATTGTCCTCATAAAGTCTGTTCTTTTAGCCATACTGAGTTACTCTATGCAATGTTTGCTTCTTCTTGAAGGTATTTTGAATGAAGTTGAAAAATTGAGTAGGAATTTTATTTAGAATCAATTTGATGATTCTAATTTCATCTCATTGTTTGGAAAAACATCAAAATGGGGAAAAATGATGGGGGCTTGGGCATAAAAGATCTCTATAATCAAAATAAAGCCTTCATGTTTAAATTTTGTTGGGAAATTCTGTGTAAACCTGAGTGTCTTTGGG